AACTTCATAATTGGAAGTTACAGTAACTTCCTTTTTTGTTTATCAAGGGAAAGTGTATAGCACTTAGCATCTGTTTTTAAAAATATTTTTCCTCTATTGATTTTTTAGAGAGAGAGAAAGATAGAAACATCGATGAGATAGAGCAATCGATTGGCCACCTGCTGCATGCCCCCCACTGGGGATCAGGCCCTCAATCTGGGCATGTGCCCTGACCGGAATCATACCGGTGACCTTTGGTGCACGGGTCAATGCTCAACCAGTGAGCTACACTGACCACGCTCCTTTGTAAGTTTTTTAATTGAGTATTTAAGCAAGGGTTTACTTCTGGACTTTCTATTCTGTTCTGTTGATCTATGTGTCTGTGTTTGTGCCAGTACCACAATTTTTTTGCAATTATTGTACCTTTTTAGCATAGTTTGAAATCAGGATACATGATACCACTTTGTTCTTTATTCTTAGGTTGCTTTGGCTACGTCGGGCCTTTAGTGTTCCATATAAATTTTATATATATTTGTTCTAGTTCTGAGAATAACTTTTGTATTTTGATAGGGATTGCACTGGATATGTATATTGCTTTGGGTAGTATGGATATTTTCACAATATTAATTTTTTTTAACCATGAGCACAGTACCTCCTTCCTCTTATTTTAGTACTCATCAATTTCTTTCTTCAATGTCATAGTTCTTTTATCTCTTTAGTTGAATTTATTCCTAGGTATGTTATTTTTTACTTTATTTTTTCATTTTTTTATTCTCCCCACAGACCCACCCTCACCCTTTCATAAACCCCAGATGTTTCTGAGTCCTACAGGGACCCAGCTTATAACTCAGACCTAATTTTTTAAATGCAATTGTAAATAGAATTGTTTTCCTACTTTTTCCTTCTGATTGATTGTTATTAGTGTCTAAAAATAAGACAAATGCATTATTTTACAGTTCTGGAAATCAAAGGCCAAAAATGGGTGAGCAGGGATGTTTTCCATATAGAGGCTCTTACAGAGAATCTTTCCTTACCTTTCCTAGCTTCTGAAGGAGCATTCCGTTCTTTGGTCTTCCTGCATTTTCAAAGACAGCAGTGCAGTATCTTTCGATGTCTCTCACTTACTATAGTCAGTTGACTTTTTCCCTTACTTTTCCCTTCCTGCCTCCTTCTTATAAGAATCCCTATGATTACAAGGGCCCACCTGAATCATGTACCCACCTCAAGATCCTTCACTAAATCACACCTGCAAAGTCCTTTTACCACATAAAGAAACATTCACAGGTTCTGGTAATTATCTGTGGATGTCTTTGGGGAGCCATTGCTCCACCTTCCATAGAGGATGTCTGTAGTCTGAGATTCAAGCTCTTAAGAACAGATATTTCTATAGAATAGCTTGTTTTCCCATTGAACCCTTCCATTTATTGGCCACATATTCGTTACTGTAAGTTTCTCTCTTTAAAACATAAAGCCATTTTTTTTTTTTCTTCTGAACACTTGAAATCACTGCTGGATGAAGTGGTTTAAACTCTCTAATGTGTTAACATTCTCATGGAGGCGGATACCGTAACACCCAAGGTCATAGAGGAGGAGACTTCACCAGGAAAGTTTCTTTTGAACTGTGAGCTTTTAAATCACTTTAGAGACAAAAATCTGGTTTCTAAAATGCAAACTACCTATCCTCAACATTGAAAGAGTTCGTCTACTTTTTGCAATTGAAAATACTCATGTATGAATCATTTTTTTGTCTTGACAATGGAAGCTTATTTAGTACATTCCATGTCTTAACATATTTTGAAGGGATGCACAAAAAAATTGACAAATTGTCCTCAGATGAATTTACTATCTAATTGGAAACAAATACGAGACCCCAGTTAGTTGTAATTGGGCAAAGACTGTTATTACCTGAATTCCTGTGTCCCTAGTTTAATAGGAGATCTATGAGTGTATCCAGTATTTAAGTATCAAAGCCAAGTAAGATTCTGAGTCAGGATTTCTTAAATGTTTGAATATTCCTCTTTCTCTAATGCATATGGACTTGAGTAAATGGTCAGTGGGCCCCTAGAGGGAGGGCAGGAGGAATCATTTTCATTACTCTTCTCCCAGATTTCCAGGGTCCTTCTTCCTGAGGACCTACCTTCTCCTTAAGGAACTCCTTCCTCCAAGTGATGGGCTTGAGGTCTGAAATTGGCTCAGATCAAGGAACTGTACCAATTCATTGAGGCTATAAGTCAACAGCCTCAATAAACCATCCTTGACTTCATTGATTATTTTCTCCCTATCCCTCTTGACCATGTTCTATTCATCATCTTCTGAATTTTTCATGGTCAGGCCCAACAGGCTGTCACTCCAGCCTTGGTGCTCGACTATTACGGCATCAACTTGGCTTCTAACATTTAATGGCAACACCTGGCCAGCATGCATCAAGATCTATCATCCTCAATGCTAACAGGAGTCCAGTTCTGCAATGGCACATTCGACTACATTCACTAGCATACAGCAGAGAGGCCACCACTGAATTTTTTTAACTTTATCTTTATTGTTGGCACTATTACAGATGTCCCCATTTCCCCTCCCTTTGCACCCCTCCACGCAGCCCCTGCCCACCCTTCCCTCTGGACATTACTGCACTGTTGTCTGTGTCGGTGGGTTATGCGTATATGTTCTTTGGCTAATCCCATCACTTTCTTTCATCCAGTCCCCACCCCCTGACAACTGTCAGTTGGCTCCATGTGTCCATGTCCCTGCTTCTATTTTGTTTGTCAGTTTATTTTGTTCATTAGATTCTCATATATGTAAAGATAAAGGCATCCTTCTCACCAGTACATGTTCTTATTTTTCGATAATTCTGTTTCTAACATCTTAAAGATATGATTCAGAAAAAGAAAATAGAGGACACTCTTGCTGAAATTTCAAACAATCACCAGAAGTTTTATAGCTTAGTTTTGAAATAAATATAGGGATTAAAAACCAAAGCCACAATGAAAACATTAGGATGCAAATTTTGTGCTTTCCAGTATTCTGATTCTTAGCCTAAAGCCCTTCAATGACCTGGCTAATGTCATTTCTAGAATCAATGAACAATTTATCATCTAGTGGTCAATTTTACATCCCTATTAATATTTTAGTAGTATTATACATTTTTTTCTTATTCATGACTAGGTAATACCTGTTTTCTTTACAAAATTCAAAGGATAGAATATACAGTGAAAACTATGGCTCCCTTCTATTCCTGAAGAGGTTACCTAGAATTCCACTACATGTATATACTAAACTTTATATTAGCAATCTTTCCATTAAAAACAATGCTGCAACGAATCTCATTTGTGTGTATACATAATTATGCACATGTATTTCCTAAAAGTCAACATACTATATCAAGGCCTAAGTACATTAAAGTGTAAGGAATATTAAGACAATTTTGCAACAGAAATTGTACATTTAACTTCCATATGACACTTTTTCCATGCCTTTCTAACACAATTTGCTATCCAATGTATTGATCCTTGTCAGTCTGAGGAGTGAAAGATTATATCTGGTAGTTTTAGTTTCATTTCATAATTATAAGTAAGGTTGAATATATTTTATTTCTTTCTGTGAACTAACTATTCACATACATTGAGTTTTATCTCCTTTATATTACTTAAATAAGTTAGGTCTTTTTATGTGATAAAGATTGAAAATATATTTTCAGAGTGATATTTGTCATTGACTTAGATTTTTTTTTTAACAACCAAAAAACCCTACCACATTTCAGTTTTATGAATTTTTGTATGTATTTTATGTCTTCTGGGTTTTACAAGATGTTTAGAAATAACTTCCAAGATTTTTTAAAATTATTTGCAATTTCCAAATTTTTTAACTTCAATCTTCATGTTTATAGTAAATCTGGAATTTATTTTGCTCTAATATCTATAGGAGATTCAATTTCTCATCTCCTTCAATGTCTATAAAGTTGTTTTAGTTTGTTCCACAGTTCACTACTTCCTACTGACTTGAAATAAAATCTTTAGATAAATAGTTCCCGGAAGTACTTGTTTCTCTCTCTAGACTCTGTGAACTATTCTATAGCTCTGTCTCTGTTGCTGAGTCAGTACTGTGCCGGTCTAACTATGCAGTTCTGGTCAGGTGTTTTCAGGTGGAGCAGACTCGGTTCCTCTCTTTACTCTTCTGTATCACCCTGACTATAGTTGAAGCGTTGGAGCATTTTCATTTAAACTTGTACAAAGTAGCAGCCTACCTATCTTTTCAAATTGAGGTATAATTGACATACACATAAACAACACATTCAATATTTGTTTATATTGTGAAATTATCACCAAAATAAGTCTATTTAACATACATAGTTACAGAATTATTTTTGTAATGAGAACTTTTTAAGATCTACTGTACTAGTAACTTTCAAATATGCAATAATACAATATTACTAACTAGTCACCATGCTGTACGTGACATTCCAATGACATACCTATTTTACAACCGGAAGTTTGTTCTTAGTGACTCCCTTCACCATTTCACACATCCTATCGTCATAAAAATATCCTTTTATTTTATTTTTTACCTCAGAATATGTTACATTTATAAATGAATTAGGGAACAATCGACTTGAATTTATATTTCTTCTTTTGGATTTTCTAATGCATTCTTGATAAGTTTTTTTCAAAGATAATTTTTACCTCTACTGCAAATTTGGTCTCTTTCTATCTCCTAAACTAGTGGGTGAAAACCTTTTTCTATAAAGTGCCCAAGAGGAACTATTTTAGGTATGGTGGGTCGTACAGTGACTGCTGCAACTATTTTACTCTGCTACTATGGCGTGAAAGCCACCTGAGGCAATATGTAAATATTTGGGTGTGGTTGTTCCAATAAAACTTTATTAACAATAACAGTCAGCAGGACAGCCTTAGACTGTAGGCCCAATTTTGCAAATTTCTGTTACACATAGATGCTTTTTAAAATTTAAATGCATAAAACCAGTTCTTAATTTATCTAATGTATGTCAGGCGCTAATATCCTCCAGTAGGCACTTTTTGTTTAAAACTTTTTTTAAGTGAAACTAAAAATACATACACACCATACATAGGGCACAGCATATATGCATATTCTATAATTTCCTTTACGAAAAGCTAATCCTATTTGAACAGTGAGCTCAGGGCACGCAGACCTTTACCAATTAATACAGCAGGAGCAGAGAGAATTGTAGTGGCTTCATTGGCAAGTGTGTCCAGGGCCTGTGATATCCAGGGTCCTTTATCCTTCTTATTATTATCAATTGCATTTCTCAGACGATTTATCTCTGCCTCCATCTCTTCAGATTTCTTCCTAAATCCTTCTTTAATCAATTTCTCTTGGGCCTAAAACAAAGGGTGTAGAGAGATGGAAAAGTAAACTTTTGAAAATCCCCATTTCTCAAGACTAAGATTTTATATGTAAGAATGTTATTAAATTTATTTTGTACATAAAAGTATTCTCTATTATCAGATCATCAGAGGATAATATTTGAAGCAGACAAAATCTTCTGGGTTGGACCTGCACAGTGAGAAGAAGGGTAGTCTTCAACCTTACTTATAATTATGCACCATTAGGGCCTTGCTAGGGTACTTAGTCAGGCATGAGGGATATGCAATGATATGTTCCAACCAAAAGTACGGATTGGGAGGGAGCCATTACTCCATCTGCACAAATTGTCAGTCTCACTTGGATGGCATGGTTCCCCATTTTGTAGAAATAATAGGAATGCATAAGCTGATCAAGAAATCTGATGTAAGCACTTCGAGATGGGAGAAAAGAGAATTCCTCCGATGCTGTGTGGTGACTTAGGCAAACTATCCTTACCCGGAGACAACTGAAGCAGGTATAGAAGGCGTCAGTTCCCCATATTTCCATGTCTGGACATATATGATAGTTCTAGGCCAGCATGGATCCAAATCAGGGTCACTGCTGGTAGTAGGGTTCTGGATGATTGACAATGATCTTAGAGAAGTACCCATTTGCTGCTCATATTAAAAACACCTGGTTGGAATATGTACTTGATAATCTATAGAACCCTGTTTAATTAGGGCTTCGTGAGATCATTCTAGAAACACACTAATGTAGAAAACTCAAACTTTGGAGGTTATTTCTATTCTCCAAGGACTTGGAGGAGCCAAGGTCATCTTGGAATCTCCAGAGTCTCAGTGTGGAGCAAAACGCCAAGCCTCTTGGAAATCCAGGATTGGGTGCTTTCAGTGAAGCAAATGCAATAAATCGCAGTAGCGATTCTCTTTTTAATTTTGCTTTAATTTTCACCCATTCCTTCCTCGTTTACCGGGGCAGTGACCAGCAGCAACTACTGAGGGCATGGCCAGACTCACATCCAGCTTGTGCTCCAGCGCCCTTGTCAGTTCTCTCAGAGCCTCTTCTCTTTCGCCCTCGAGCTTCTTCTTCAGTTGGTCCATGTGTTCCTGCCGACTCCTATTTTGCGCCTCCATGTACTGCTGCTGCTCCTGGTATTTCTGTCTTAGGCACTCCTGTTCCTTCTCAGCTTCCTCCCTCCTTGCCCGCTCCTCTGTCCCAGGAAGTTTTTAGAAAGAGAGAAAGTACAAGATCAGGCCTGAACTCTACCATCTTGAGATTAGAGAACAAATCAAATTTGAAAGAGAAGATGAGGAAACTCAGATTTCACCCAAGGGCTACACCATCAAGAGCAGATTTGAGAAGGTGGTGGAAAAGGCCACAGCTGTCTGGCTGACATGCATACAACCACAATTGTGCTGGTTATGTTCAGATTTGGCAGCATGTGAATTCCACAGAAGGGCAAGTTTGTTGTTTTGGAAAGACCTTCATGCGATCTGTCAGAGCACTGCGGGAACCTCCCCGCCCCACTGAGAGGTGCATCATGCCCCATACCTGCTATGGCCTTCTCACGTTGGCTCAGGGCTTTATCTGTCTGCAGGATGGATTTCTCTATTGACACCTGTGACTGCAGGAAGTGTTGGAAGATCTCTTTTGCCTGAGTAATCAAGAGGGAACAAAGAACTTAAAGTTCCACTGAGATTTGTTCTAGGCAAACAAATTAATTCGTACTATTTTTACTCTGTTTAAAATGCTTCATAAACCCCTACAAAGTCCCGAGCACCATACTGTGCCCAGAGGCTCTATATCTTATTCCAGTCCCTGTTCCAGCCCTAGTTCTCTCCACATGCCTTTGGTTTCAGCCACTCAGAATTATGTGCAGTTATACAAACCCGTAATCTTTTGGTGCTCTTATAGATTTGCCTGTTTACTTGGGCACTTCCACTTGAATAACATCTCAACTTGGACAACATGCATAAATATTTCAAAATGTATATCCCCTTCCTTTCATGGGAGGTTTTATAGAATATATGTCCAACGTGACATGCAGACTCTATGCTGCTGTTCTCCCCAGCCACTTGCTAGATGTGCAACCTGAAGCAAGTTATATAACCTGCTTCTGCCTCCTAATTCACATCTATAAATGTGGGTAATGAAGTTAATGTTTCATAATATTTTTTGGACTAATATATTAGAATGTTAAGAGAAAGAGCTTAACACTCAGCCTATAGATAGTAACAGTTCAATATGTTCACTGTATTGTTATTATTATATTTATTGATTTATGTCCGTATATATTTAAAAATATGATGTTATTGCTTTTTTCATAGACAAAAGAAGGGAGAGTGAGAATGAAACATCGATGTGAGAGAGCAACATCGATCTGCTGCCTCCTGCACTCACACCACTGGGGATCAAGCTTGCAACCCAGGCATGTGCCCTGATCAGGAATCGAACTGGGACCTCTTAGTTTGTGGGATGATGCTCAGTCTACTGAGCCACACTGGCCTGGCAGTTATTGTTACATTTATTACCATCACCAGTGCACCCCAGTCACAGGTTCATAAGTTTTAGCACTATGTAATTGCCCATTTATTTGACTCTCTCTCTCACTTTGATCAGCTTTGGGAGCAAATATTCTGACTTTCCACCATGAATCCCCCACCCTTATTATACTACATGTCATGTTGTTAAACAATAAAATGTATCATTTTTATTCTGTCTCTCACAGATTTCAGAAATTTAGCCTCATGTTTGAGAATGAACATTTCTACGCAGGAAGAAAGAACAAATAGTGGACTTTAAAAGCTAAAACAGCCATAATATCCCCATGCTCTCAATTTACGCACAACGGATGCTGTGCTCTCAGATGCTCAGGGGACCCTCTTGACTGTCATCTGTAGTATCTCCATGTGTCCCTACATCTCACCTTCACTCCTTTGCTGGGTACTTCCCAGTAGCGCCGTTCAATCCTTTCCTTTGCTCTCTTGTATTTCTCGTGTCCTCCAGAAACAGAGAAAATTCCTGCTGAAAAACTTTCCATTAGGGGCATCGTAAGCTGATCAAGTACATGCTGGCAATATTTCTCAGAAGCCTCTTCATTCTGCATCAAGAAACTCTTCTTCTTATTGTTTATGATTTCCTGCAAGGGAAATGTAGACATGCATCACCGGAAGAAAGGAACAGAGAAAGTAAAACTCCAAAGGATCTATTAGCTGGGTACTCTGTGGTCCTCTTACGAAAGGCATTCTAGTAAATGACACAAGTAATGTAGCAAGAATAAAGAGATTTATTTCCAACTTTGAAAACTCTGTGCAAGACTCTGCTAAAGCTTCTTAAACTGCCTGGGCCTCATCTTCATTTGTGAAATGTTGAGTTTACATTATATAGTCTTTTACATAATAGAATCCTGTGATTCAATTTTCAATAAATAGTGATACAACTAAAATAATGTAAATAATGACCTGTTAAGTGAGTCTGCTAAGGAAGTCATGGATCTAGAAATGGGAGGGCAAACACCTAGAGAGCAACCTGCTCAGGAATGACTTTGAGGAGTTCTGGAATCATGCCACAATTCACTAAAGGAGAAATTGGTACTGATTTTGCTTGAGAGATCAGGCAGATCCTGAATAACTTTCCTAAGTTTGAGGAACAAGAAGTAAATATCCTCTCTCTCAGGAGAATCCAGACTATTCTACCCTGAGTAGGAGATGAGCTGTGAGATGGGTATGTAGAACTGCAAACATCATTCCAGAAGGACAAGAATTAGGAAGGATAAATACTAAGACAAAGTACCATGAGCTTCGTCTGAAACCCCCGCTTGTCATCCTTGAAGGAGCGCTCCATGAAGATGGCAATGGCTTCCCTCTCGCAGGCTGCGTGCAGGTCCAGCAGCTCCTGGAGCGAGTCTGTGGGGAAGCTCACTCGCTGGGCCATCTGCTCAGTGTAGTGATCGGCCGCCTTCTGCACGGCTGCTGAGTTCTCAAGCTCAGCCAGTGCTGTCACCGCGTTCTCCAAACAAGGCACAGCTCCGCTGTTGATGGTATCCACATAAGTCACCACCAGAGTCCCCAGCCCTGAGTAAAGCAGGAAACAAAGATCAACATCAATTTACCTCTCAGTGAGATCCAAGATTCTGAGATTACAGTTTTGAAACTACTCCCATACAGACAGGCACACACACACACACACACACACACACACCCCTACTTATTGCTATCGTAACTTTTATTTTTACATTTATTTGTTATTCTAGTGTGCAACAGGCCATCATATTAAATATTAAATACCTACCTTTGTCTAACATAATCAGAAGTGTCTGTGAATAACTATTACACACTACACAAATAAAAGTTAAAATACAAATAAAGAAATAAGAAGGATAATTCAGATAATTATTCTTAATTCTTATGCTTTCAGTAGAGTTTCAGTTACTCAGAAACTACTATTAATTTCAGACTGGTTAAACTTCCAAGAAGTCACTGTGAGAAAAACACTTAATGTATAGGACTTCCCCTGAAAATATAACATACTCCATTTTTATATCCAGTTAGTGGTTTTATAATCAGTGGTGGGGTTCTTCTTAAATATGGGACTACAATGTATCAGTGATAATATCTGGAGTTTTGAAAAGGATTTGTCACTACCATGCTGAGATAATTACTGAAAACACATACATATTTTTCTATAGAGTATGAATATTTATAAGTGCACATTTTTATATAAAATAAAACAAAACTACTAAAGAACACAAATACTTGAATAGTTAACATGCATTAGACTACTCAGAAATGTGGTTTTGGAAAAGGAGACTCACTATTCCCAGTGACCTTGACTCCTTCTCTGAGCAGCTTGGTCTTTGCATGGTTGAAGATATAATAACAGAATTTATCTGATTGTTCCCGGAATTTAGGATCCAGTTGGCTTTCCAAAATAGTCTCAAGTTTGGCTAGGAGCTCTGTCTCTTTTGTTGGCCGGTCAAAGACAAAACACTTTCGCTTTGGAAAATAATTCCTGATACACTCCCTGGGTATGTTGGAATTTTTAGCTCTAGGATTTAAACCTGGAGAAAAGGATAAACACAGTTGCAGTCAGCATGGTCTTGGGATAAGACAGCTAAAGGTTTTTTATGACTGGGGATTTTAGATTTTTGGAGACTTCTATGCTTATAGAACTCCTTTAACATATTCATAGAAATTAAAAATTAAATTTATATGAATGACATGTTACTGGAGAGTAACTTTAGGAGAGTAATTTTAGGAGACATGTGCCCAAGAAAAAGAAATGTATGGCTGGTATCCTCAAAATCAAACACGTTGACTGTTTTATTAGATGTTTATCAAATGAATGCTTTACTGGGTGACGGTCATATTTCAATTTCTGGTCTACTGCAACCCATGTTGGAAGTAAACAGTCGGAACAAAATGAAGAGGAGCCACAAACAAAGACAATGGAGTCATGATGAATAGGACACAGGAGAGCTTGTTCCTTTAAGAAAAACCCTGCATTGACTGAATTCACATACTACAAATAGCACTAGCTATTTTTTGTAGAAACTCCAAAGACTAAACACTACCTAAATATAATCTGAAAAACTCACCACTATTCCAAAAACACATTGGTTTTGTCAAGTACTCACCTACCAAAATGCCATTAATTCAAATAAATTATTAACTTAAAATAGTGACAAAGTGAATAACTATGTTAACACAAAAAGGAGGCTGTGATAAGGAAAGTAAAATGAGGAATCTGGTTATTTTAAAAATTAATAAAGAAAATTGTTCTAGTTCAAAATGGTGATAGAGGATATCCTCAGCTTACTTCCACTGACGCACAAAATCTACAGCTATGTATGGAATAATTTTCTCTTGGGGGGAGGAAAAAACCTAAAAACTAGTGGAACAATCACTTCACATTGGGTAAATCAGAGGGAAACCACACTGAAGGGGGTAGGAGACCTGAGACATAGTCTCACCATAAACACCACCCCTGGCACAGTGATCCCGAATCTGGAAGGCACTCAAAATCTGGAGCGTCTCCCTGAGGAGTGAAGGGTTTGTACCCCACATCAGACACCCAATAATTTAAGCCCAGCACTTGAGATGAGCCCCAAAACATCTGGCTTTGAAAACCAACAGGGCTCACATCACTAATCATCAGAGAGATGCAAATTAAAACAACAATGAGGTATCACCTCACACCTGTCAGAATGGCCGCCATCAACAAATCATCAAACAACAAGTGTTGGCGAGGGTGTGGAGAAAAGGGGACTCTAATACACTGCTAGTGGGAATGCAGACTGGTGCAGCCACTATGGAAAACAATATGGTGTTACCGCAAAAAATTAAAAATTGAACTTCCATTTGACCCAGTGATCCCACTTCTAGGAATATACCTTAAGAAACCTGAAACACCAATCAGGAAGAATATATGTACCCTCATGTTCATAGCAGCACTATTTACAATAGCTAAGATCTGAAAAGAGCCCAAGTGTCCATCAGTAGACAAATGGATAAAAAAGCTGTGGTACATATACACAATGAAGTACTATGCAGCTGTAAGAAAGAAAGATCTCTTATCCTTTGAGACGACATGGAGGGACCTGGACAGTATTATCCTAAGTGAAATAAGTCAAGCGGAAAAAGACAAATACCACATGATCTCACTTATATACGGAATGTAATGAACATAACAGTCTGAGGAATGCGGTAGACCCAGAAACATGGAAGTAGGGCACAGACTGACAGCCCTCAGAAGGGGGTTGGGGAAGTGGGAGGAGCTAAACCACAGAACTTACATGCATGTATGCATGACCAATGGACATGGACAACAAAGCCAGGGATGGGACGGGGGTGGGATGGGGGGTGCCAATGGGGTAAAAAAGGAGAAACATCTGTAACAAAAAAATAAATTAAAAAGAAAGAAAGAAAGAAAGAAAGAAAGAAAGAAAGAAAGAAAGAAAGAAAGAGAGAGAGAGAGAGAGAGAGAGAGAAAGAAGGAAGGAAGGAAGGAAGGAAGGAAGGAAGGAAGGAAGGAAGGAAGGAAGAAAGAAAGAAAGAAAGAAAGAAAGAAAGAAAGAAAGAAAGAAAGAAAGAAAGAAAGAAAGAAAGAAAGAAAGAAAGAAAGAAAACCAACAGGGCTCACACTCACGAGACCTGTGGACTGTGGTGAGTGAGCTCTTAAAGGGCTCACATGCCAACTCACTCACCCCAGGGCTCAGTGCAGAAACAAATCCTAGAGAACACTTAGAAAAATAATTATTTTCTAATTTTAAAGCATTGGCCCGAGGGCACGGGGCTGTTGGTGTATTCTGGGAGTGGAAGCTGATGAGTGCCATCTTCCTGTTCTCCCTCTACCTTGCTAAAGCCCACAGGGGCCGTCACTTTTTTCTCTTTTGATTTATTTTCCTTTTCCTAGTGGACAGTATCTTTGTGCTCTCCCTCTGCCACACTCCAGGCCACAGTTATCTCCATGTGAGGAGCTTCTAAACATTTCTGGTGCCTGGTTTTTATGCCTGGTGACTCAATCTTTGTGGCTGCCATTCAGGAGGTGCCCCACGATTGTCTGGCTTTAGAGGCCAGGGGTTTACATTACAGGACCCCATGGGACTAATAATTGAAGAGGCAGTTCTTGGCAGACTACCACTCTCAGGGCACTGCACAGATGGACTGAAACATATCCCCAGACTTTCTGAAAAGAGTCTTCTTTGCTTGTTCAGGAACTTAGGCCTCAGGGGCAGTCTTCTGATTTGGCACACTTACAGTGTTTCAACATGGTGCATAGGAGGACTCTAAACTCACCTCCTCCATTGACAAACTGAATATACACCTACATATAAAGCAATTCTTCCTGGAGAACTGAAGGCTGATTGAACGGCTTTTATACAACATAAAGAGAGGCCTCATACAGAGAAGGTTAGGAGAGATGGAGAGGTGGTACCCTTGCGAACCGTATCCATACAGGAAGACCTGCAGTAAGAAATATCACTGTGGGGCCCACAAAGGCAGACCTGCCTACTCTGGGGCAAAGAAAAACACAATGTTTTAAAAAGCATTTAAACTGCAAATTGAAGCATTAAACCATTTACTAATGCCTCGATGCCTGTCAAATGTGTGGGGAACTTCAGGAACTCTCCTGTGTCCATGGGAACTCCCTGAGATCAGAGGTATCAGCAAGCACCATTGTCTATGTTCCCCCTCATTAACCTCCTTATAGATAGTAGGGGCAGAGCTGAGTACAAGAGCTCTAGCAAGCATTCAAGGCCTACATGGCATGCCCCAGGAGCACTGCTAGAGCCCTGGCCAGTGGCCCCCCAGGGCACACCAAGAGTCATGCAGCCAGGATCATCCCAGAAAGTGCTCACTTCGGCCCCAGTCAGCTCCCCAGAGTACCCAACAACCCCACTCCCAGGATGACCTCAGGCACCATCCACTGATGCTCTAGCCACCCAGTTCCATAAAACACCCCAAAGCCCCATGTCCCATGCTGCCTCAGCCAGCATCTGTTATAACACCAGGGCACCCTTAAAGCCCTGCACCCTGAATCAATTCAGTCAATGCCTACTGAAACACCAGCCAGATAGACACCCAGAAGACCTCAGGCACTGCACAGACTCACTTCAGCTGACCTGCCAAAACTACTCAATTCATGCAATCTACACTGAAGTCACTCCTATGCAAGGTCACTCCTTGAAGAATAGGAGAGATAACTCTTCATCTAATTCATTGAAACAAACACATAAAGTCAACCAAAAGAAGAAGATAGAGGAATAGGTTTTAAAAGGAGAATTTAAAAAAGTAAAATTTAGAAAACTGAAACAAATCCTTATGAAATGTATACGAGTATTTGCCTAAGGAAGAATTCAAATTAATAGTTATAAGGATGCTCACTGGACTTTGGAGAAGTCAGTGAAAACTTCAACAGTTAGAAAAAATAATAAAGAATGATTTAGAGCTGATGAATACAGTAACTAAAATGTAGAATACAGTAGAGGAAATCAAAAGCAGATTAGATAATACAGAAGAACGAATTAGTGACCTAGAAGAAAGAAAAGTGACAATCACCCAATCAGAACAGCACAAAGAAAAAAAGAATGTTATAAAAAGAAAGGATAGTTAATGGGACTTTGGGGACAATGTCAAGTGCACTAATATTCACTTTATAGTAATTCTGTAAGGCTAGGACAGAAACTTATTTCTTTAAAAATGGTTAAAAACTTTCCTAACTTGGGAAAGAAAACAGAAAATCAGGTCCAGGAATCACAGAGAGTTTCAAGCAAGATGAATCCAAAGAGACCCACACCAAGACATATTGCAATTAAAATGACAAAACTTAGAAGAGAATCCTGAAAATAGCAAGAGGAAAACAATAAGTAACATAAAAGGGAACTTCCATAAGGTTATCAGGCAATTTCTCAACTGAATTTTTACAGGCCAGAAGGCAGAGACAGTGTATATTTAAATTGCTGAAAAGAAAGAACCTACAACACAGAATATTCCATGTAGCAAGGTTAACATTCAGAACTTAAAAACAGATTGTTTCCCAGAAAAGAAAAAAATTAAAGAAGCTCATCATCTCTAAATTGCTTAACAAGAATGTTCATGGGTCTTCTTTAAGTGAAAAACTTAAGGCCACAATCAGAAATTTTAAAAATACACAGGAAAAAAAGATGGCATAGAGATCGGCAGCTGAGACCCATCCCCACTGGCATCAGCAGAGGCTGATCAGGAGAAGTGGCCCAACCCAAGCAGCAGTGAGGCTCAGGCAGCCAAAACCCACCCCTTGCAGCAGCCAATTTAAAGTGGAGCCTCTTCCCCACCAGCAGCAAAGTCCCAGGAATTGAGTATCCTCAGTCCCCAACAGCAACAGAGGATTGGGAGCTGAAAGCACCCCCTGGCAACAGCAACAGCAGTAACAGCACAAACCGAGAGCTGATACTCGCAACCAGAAACATCAGCAGCGAATGATCAAGATCCAAGCCCCACCAGGCAGCAGTGCACCACAGCAGTGCCCCAGTGGGACTGATGCACCCCAGTAATGCACTAGTGGGACCCACACACCTCA